AAACAGTTTCTTGAATTGAGCTGAACTGGTGCTGGCAGCCTGCTGACTCCTTTTGACTCCTTTGCCATTAATTATTCTTGTAAATCTTTTTTATTATCGTGTGGTGGAACGTATCCGTCGGTAAAAACTCATTCGCTGTAATGATTAATAGCTCATTGATCGACTATCGGTTAGGAAACCGGTTCCAGATCAGAACCTCCCTGAGCGACTCACCTGGAAGTCGTCGTCGTCCAGCGGCTCCTCGCCTTTCCTCAGCAGCTTCTTCCTCTTCTTCTTGCTCAGGTTCTGCTGCTCCACGATCTTGTCGTAGTTGAAGTGTTTGTGTTTGGCTTCGTGGGCGTCGTCCTCCATCAGCAGAACCATCTCAGCCTGGAGACAGACAGACAGACAGATGTAGGCGTGATCCACGGACAGGAAGCTGATGGTGGGAGGAGCTTCTCTGTCTTACCTTTTGTTTCTCCTGCTCCTCCTGCTCCTCGGCCGTCCGCTCCGCTTCCTGTTTCTTCTTCTTCTTCTGTTTCTTCTTCTTCAGCTCTGCAGAAACACCAGAAGACGGCGATAATGAGCCTTTAACATCTTCAGGCTTCACACTGTCACAGTTTGTTAAGGCAACACAGCAGAACATCTCATCATCTTCTGTAAGGAAACGAGCTCTAACCCGACAGTCACGCTTTCATTTCACACTCAACATTTTTAAACACTAGAAGCTCTGGACTGAATGTCACACCATCAGGCAGCACATTTTATGACACGTCTGAGCAGGTCCTGGTGAGGCTCGATTCACCGTCTCCGCCCTCTCAGTGCTAAACACCTGCTACCGGCTAGTTAGCGCCTGTTAGCTAACAGCAACAATGACTGATCACCTGCAGCGCTGAGCTCCTCGGCGAAGAAGGGGTCGCTGAGGTCGACGTCCGGAGGAAGCTCGTCATCGCTGAGCTGCTCCACGTCGGAACCCTGACAGAAGACAAACCATCGGACAGATTAACGGAGGAGCAGCGGCCAGAGAGGTGCTGAGCGAGCTCCAGGTCGGTCACTCGATTTGTTGAAGCTCTTCCGTCTGCGTTTTCACCACAGTTCTTGGCTGCTGGAGTTTTATTTGTGGAGACACTGAACCATGAACATGCTCTCGTCACGTCTCCACCATCTGACCCCTGTGCAGGTAGAACACACCTGTGCAGCCGTTGGCAGTCGCTCACCTGCTTCCTGTCGGACTTCTTCTGCTTCTTCCGCTCCTTCTTCTTCTGCAGAAACTCCTCCCAGGGCGTCAGCTGCTCTTTGCCCTCCAGCTTCTTCTTCACCAGCTGCTCCGTCGTCTCCTTGAGGCCTGAACGAGGATAAAACACACTTCTGATCAACTGAATCGACACACACACACGTCTTGGAACAGAGCTGGAAAACAGCAAAGCAACCGCATGGAAACAGAATTATTTAGCGTGTTCTCTGTAACAGCAGCACGACGGTAAAATGACAGAATGTTGGTTTTCTTAAACTCAGAATAGCTTCAGCAGTAAACTGAAAATAAATCAGCATCTTCTTTATGTCACATTTAGCTTAAGTGCTGATAAAACACATAAACTAAACATTTACTCTCATTAAAGGATCGACAGCAAACCCAAGTGTGGCAAATATTGAGAACTGATCAATTACACACACTAATTATAAGGATTTCAGATTCATCTTTCAAGAGAACATTCAAAACACGAGAGCAAACAGCGATTCTATTCTCAGCTCTCTGACTTCAGACTAACATTTTCAAACTAAAACAGAATCGGTTTCCCTCCTTCTAGAGCGAACCCCTCATGTGAGAGTTTTTTCTGGAGCTAGTTTTTCATCCAGCTCTACGCTGACGTCTCCTCCTCGTACCTGGCACCCAGGTGATCTCCATCTCCATGTCTTTGTCCTCCTGCAGCTTCTTCTCCTTGTCCTGGATGCCTTTCAGCAGCTCTCTGTACTTGGAGATCTGCTCGTCGCTCTTCTTCTTCTTCTTCTTCTTCCCGTCCTCCTCTCGGGGTTTGCGCTCCACGACGAGCTCTTCTGTCCGACACAAACACAGCAGCTTTCAGACGTCACAGTCCAGCTGAGACACAAACGCTGACAGGACAGACAGCGGGTCTCAGAGCCTGTAGAGGCAGTGAACTGGAAATATTTAAACGTGTGGAGACAGCATTGGTCCCAGAGTCGGTCCCAGAAACACGCTGGTGAGCAGATTTAGACCGAGTTAATAAAACAAGGCTGGTCTCCAAATACTGTGTCCCTGAAATCAGTTATTAATTGTGACCAATTTAACATTTGTTACAATAATCAGAATTAGTGTTTGTCTATAGTTTGATGTAAATATTTCAGATGTCATCCGATAACTTCAGAACCAACGACTCTTTCCAGGTCACTGAAGCCATCTGGTGGATGTTCAGTATGTTCCTACCCTCTGCTGCGTTGGCGTCGTCTGCACCCTCCTGCCCTCCGTCTTCTTCTCCCTCCTCGTCCTCTTCGCTGGAGGAGGCCAGGTAGGCGTTGAAGTCCATGTCCAGCAGCTCGTGCTTGTTGAACGTCCTGCTCAGGGCCGTCACGCGCTCGTGGTCGGTTTCATCCCACGTCAGCTGCACCTGATCGGTTCGACGCAAAACGCTTCGGTCAAACTCTGTCACACACAAACTGCTCTCGATTCTGCTCAGCTACGACCGTCGGATCAACCAGCTGTGAAACACTGAAACAAAAGCCACTCCCAGACTTGAGCATGTATGTGCAGACACTTCTACACACAATGCAGCAAAGGGAGACGCTGCTGGTGAGGAGGCACGAGCAGGGCGCTCGCTCACACATGAAGTAACTCCAGATTGGTCCCAAATGAAGGAAAACGGGTCCAAAAGTTATTTTAAAACAACCAAATACTGTCAAAATCGACTAAACATTGCGGCCAAAATTACTCAAAGATGTGTTCAAAAAGACGAACCCTGAGCTTAAACAGCATGCAGTTAGAGACAAATGAACTTAGACGGTCCAAAGTGATTGAGTGATATTTTACCTCCAACACAAGCCTCAAGTCCAGCTTCACCAGATACCCTCACAAGCTACTGTAGCTCCAGTTCTGCTCAGGGATTCACAGCCTCCTGTTCACATTTCAGCACCAACAGTAATGACAACATCTCAGACAGAAGACGACGATGCCAGAAACACCAAAACGTCTCTCTCAGGTTGAAACACCAACAGCTCAGACTAATGAACGTCAGCCACCGTCATGTAGACTTGAACGATGACGGTTCCCGTTTCCGAGAATCAGAACGTCTCCAAAACGCTTCGTTTCAGCAAAGAACCAGCTGCAGAGAACAAAGTTGTGGAGCGTTGTGTTTAACCAGCATCCTGACCGCATCAACCAAACATTCCTCCTCCTTTAAGCCTTCAAAGAGCAGCTTGGTCACTTGTGGACGACAGTTTTTACGTCAGCGATTCAAACTGACCTACCGTACAAACATTACTGTCCACGTTCACTGAGCTAGATGAGCCGCTGGTATGAAAACCTCGGCCTACGGCAAACTGGGAACGGGTAGATCGGATGAAGACTCAAAGACCTTTACCAAGACTTTGAAGGAATGTACCAGATGAGCTTCACCACCTCTGCATCCGACCAGACGTGGAATACGGTCACAGTCTCTCCTCCTATCACAGCACTACACAACAGACGTCCTGTGACCTCATCGTTTTATCCTGTTAGATCAAACTATAATTAGTGTCCTGTTTTAAAATTTTGGCCAAAACCACCAAAAAAACACGTCATCAGTTCATCGTCCAACGTTTGAACTCCTTCTTGTGAGACCAGACACACGTTCTGTCAAACCAGGAGCCTTTTAATGTCGCTCTGGGTGCTTTAGCTTCAGCCTCTTACCTTCGAGGTGGCGGCGGCAGACGAGGTGAACAGTTTGGGCGTGTAGGCCGACAGGTTCACGTCCGTCGCCACGTCTTTGGGCTCCTCGTCAAACGTCACGTCGTCGGGAATGAAACTGTTGGAAATTAACAGACATTTAAACGTCAGCGCGAAAAAAACAACAACAAGCAAGAGCGTTTGACAGAATGAAGTTACAGCTGAAGCAGACCGTCACTGGTCGGTCAGTCTGAGGTGTTGGTTCGATACGATGCTGAAATAACTCAAGTGAGCCACACTGAGCCCAGAACAGGACGGTAGAAAGCTGACGAGTCACTCAGAGCTCTGTGGAGTTCAGCTCCTGACAACCTGCGGACTCTGAAGCTTCCAGACAAACTGAAGCCAGCCCTGATCAGACGGCTCCACACACGCAGCCTTCAGGTGTGCACCAGGTAACGCATCAAGAGGTCGCATTTGTGCAGGTGAATTATGACAGTTAGGCTGTCTGGGTGTCGCTTTAACCAGCTACTGTGTTTAGCACAGCGGTGGACAGGAGTACAGCTACTGTGGTTCTGTGGTTCTGTGGTTCTGTTGGTCCGTCCCCGGCTGATGCATAAACAAGCTGCAGAGCTGCTGTGTGCTCCAGAGATAAAGCCAGGAGCTGATTATTCAAAAACCGAAGGAGGAAAGAGGAGGGGGAGATAGCAGCACATTCAGTTCAGTATCTAACGCAGCAGTGGGGCTGCAAAATTACATGAATATGAATCACTATCACGACTTTGGCCTCCCACCGTGGTATAACCGTGATCGACTGCAGAATTCACACCTGAGAACGTGTTCCGCTTGTAAAGATCTGACATTAGAACATCGTGTTTCACTCAGTTTTCTGTTCAGGCACCTACTGCAGTCTGCACCGTGAGGCGTTCAGGGAACATCGGTCAGAAGATGTTCAGCAAGCGAGGTGTTTGCCTGTGTGAAGGTGGGACCAGTGCTACCAGCTAAAGTGAGTGTGGAGCACGGTGCTTTCTTGTTGTCGCTGTCGGACAGACGTACCGGAGGTCGAGGACGGAGCAGCTGCTCTCGTACTCGTAGCCGTCACACTCCTCGTAGATCTTGGTGGACGTGTTGACCGAGTCGCACTCCACCACAGCGTAGAAATACTTGAGGCGCTTGAACTGGTAGTCGCGCATCTTCTCCCTGTAAACCCTGAGAGGAGACACAAACAGCAGCAAGTAAACAAACACACCAGAGCTGAACGATGAAGCCAAGTCGACACATCCAGGCTTCCTATGTGTGAGTTGGTTTGATAAAAACTGAATCTCCAGCTCAGCAGCATCAGTTGCCATGGAGACCTAGCTCCACAGCATCAGTTGCCATGGAGACCTAGCTCCGCAGCATCAGTTGCCATGGAGATCTAGCTCCGCAGCATCAGTTGCCATGGAGATCTAGCTCCACAGCATCAGTTGCCATGGAGATCTAGCAGGTTAACATAGAACCTCCTTGATGACCTTAAAAGCTCAGACTTTGGTCTAACAGACCCGTTAATGACGCAGAGCTCCTGGTCCTGTTCTAATTAACCAGCGACACAAAAATGGACAAAACCTGACAGACTGCTGAGGAAGCCTTCAAGTCTGAACAGCAGATGTAAACCAGTGGGATTGTGACCTGACCCTCGGTGTTTCTGGGTTTAGCGGTGTGATGTTTGGCCCTAGCAGGCGTTGCTATGGACTACCTCTCCTCCTCGGTGTCGTCCTCCGAGTCGTCGGGCAGCGCTCTCAGCTCCAGCGGCCCCTGAGTCTGCTCCACGCTCAGCCGCTCCTTCCCAAACTCTGACGGGTAGATCTGGACAACAACACCCAGCATGCACTGCGGTTTATCGCTCACATCGATACTGACAGTTTAAGCAGCTGCAGTCGCCATGACAACGGACATAAATCAACAAAACCTGGATCAACATTTTATTTTCCGTGCACTTTTACCATCATTTCATTGGTTTCATTCACACTTTTTTCTGTACGTCATGTCATTATTATTGTTGTTATTATTAGTTTCATAAACATTTTATTTTCAGTATTTTTTTTTTTAATCATTATTACTTTATTGGTTTAATAAACTCTTTTATTTTCAGTGTTATTATCACTACAGCTGTCTTCTTGGTTCTACTAACCATTTCATTCGTGTTTTATTATCATTTCATTGAGGTTTATTGTTTTATGATGCTTTCACATCCCGTGTGCTTTGATTATTATTATCTAGGTATTCTTTTTCCAGAGATGTAGCACAACACGAAGGTAAAAGCAGAGTTCTGTTCATTTACATTAGAAAGGGTTCTAGAAATGTTTTGTCTAAAAATCAATGACTGTTCATGATTTCATATTGATCAGTTAAACTGAGCAGCTCCGGTTTCCACCAGCGTTCTCGTAAAGAGAAAACGTGAAGGAGAAGCAGGACGAGGGACTCCGTCGAGTGTGTTCAGAGCAGCGTTACCTTCACCGACAGCACGGCTCCTCCGTGAGGCGTGAACGAGTTGAGCAGAGCCAGCAGGTCCTTGGCCTTCATCCGGTCCCAGTCCATGTTGCAGACGGCCAGCCGGGTGGACACCTGACACACAAACACGGTTAGACCACGTGAAGAGCGTCCATGTTTGCTGACCGCCCCCGTCGCGCCGCCTCACCTCGTCACTTCGCCGAGCGTCTTTGCACAGCTCTCCCCAGTCGTGCTCGATCTGCTCCTCCTCCTTCCTCAGGATGGCGTCCACGTCTTCGTCGTCATCTTCATCCGAGCTGGTCTCCACGTTGCCCTTCCCTCTGGCCAGATCCGGCTCACTGTCGCTGTCGTCCTCTGACTCCAGACCCGACTCCTCCTCGTCTGACCCGCTGCCCTCCTCTGCATCCTCGTCCTCCTCCTCGCTGCTGCCGGTGATGTCATCGTCAACAACGCCCTCCTCTGCAGACTGCTGCTCCTCATCCTCTTCATCTACGGGAAATATCGATTCAGACTTAAACGGAGGGAAATCAGCCGACTGCTGAGACTCAGACGTGATTTACTGTCACTGCATTAAACACACACTGAGCTCAGACAGACAGAGTGGACATGATTAGGACACATAAGTAAAATAAATATAAAAAACAGATTCAAAAATAGCTCTAAATTAGTTGGGCTACCTCTATAATGAGTAACACTGTACAGTTACAGCCAAAGGGTCTGTTTTTTATATATATTTTAATATGTGCTTATTTGTTTGTCACGGCTGTAAGTTTAACTGTAAGAACATGAATTTTTAGAGGAAGTTTAACTTCAAGCATCTCTTCAATAAGTTTGTGAAAATGTGTGGCTGGGAACAGTTCACTCTGCTTCTCCAGAGTCTGAAAATAAAAAGTAAGTCCATGTTTTTTTCTTCTTCGCCACCAATCAGTTGTTTAAGTTCAACCAAAGTCACTTGCGTTTCATTTTTGTGACCAGTTGTTTTAAATCAAACATATTCTCCAGGTTTAGTTTTGTGTTGTTGTGACCTGCAGCTACACGCGTTTCACAAAATATCACCAGTCGACTTCTGCTTTGTCAATGGCGCCACGTCTCCTCTGCGTCGGCTTGATCTCATTATTTTACATGATTTGATGACACATTAAACTAATATCTTAGTAAAAGCACTGATCTTTAGTTGTTAAATTATGGTATGTATGTTACGATATTTTTCTCAGCCTGCATCAGTGAACGTGAGAATAAAAATCTTGTTCTCACCCTGTTCAATGACTCGGACTCCTCGTTCAACTCCTTCAGGTTTCCGTCCTTCCGTCACTTCTCTCTCGGCCTTCGCTTTCTTCTTCTTCGTCTTCTTCTTGCCCTCGGCCGCCTCCTCGTCCTCCGAGTCGGACAGTTTGTAGAAGCGCTTCAGGTCCTCTGTGGAGGTGTGGTTGATGGGACGGCCTCGTTTGTCCACCGTGTACTTCACCTTGAAGCGCTCGTCGTGAAACATGGACTGGAAGCGCTTGTCGATCTTGACTTTGCGCTCTCTCTCGGGCATCTCCCAGAACCTGGGATCCTTCTGCACCCGCAGGAAGCGATCGTCGCCGTCCATCTTCTTCTTAGACGACATGTTGGCAGAAGTCACAGCGTCTCCTGCAGAATACGAACAGATGAAGCGTAAGGAAACCGTTTCTAGTTGACTTCAAAAACTGACTGTATTGCCAACACATCAAACTGCCGCGTGCAGCCTGAGATGTGTCTGAACGCTGGACGAAGACGCTGGGCAGCTTCATGAATGCAGCACATTTTTATAAAATAACAAGAAGCAAGAAGAACTGAAATAAAATCAGTTAAAATAGAAGAATCCTTGACTTATAAAAAATTCTAATTATTGTTGTTTAGTGGTGGCATTAATAATGTTATTATTTCATTGGCTATAATATCAATAAACAATAAAATAATTATCAAAAACATGTAGGAAGAAGAATTATTTTTTTTAAATTAACATCTATAAAATAATACTGACAGGAACACGTCATATTACAGTTTTAAAATAAAAGCACATTTGTTCCCGTTCTGCTTTCATCATTACTTTAGTGACTGTGTGCTTTTATTAGTTTTATTTTAAGACACTTTTACGTGTTGCATACTTTTTATTATTATTTCATTGGCTTCATTGATAAATTCTACAACACTTTCACTTTACATGTTCTTTTAAAAAAAAAAAAACCTTATTTTAAATATATATCATTTTACTGTTATTACTGATAAATTGACAAAAATAAATCACTTTAGTTAATTGTTATCAATATTGTTACTG